CGTTGGGCAGCGGCAGGATGCGATCGTTCACACCATTCAGCGGGTGCCCCTGCCAGCGGACACAGCTCAGCAAGAGGCAGGCGCTACCGCTGTTGGCCGACGGGCCGCACCCGCTGCTGCCGATGGGCAGCGGCAGGATGCGATCGTCCACACCATTCAGCGGGAGCCCAATCCAGCTGCCCCAACTCAACAAGAGGCAGGCGACACCGCTGTGGGTCGACGGGCCGCATCCGCTGCTGCCGTTGGGCAGCGGCAGGATGCGATCGTTCACACCATTCAGCGGGTGCCCCTGCCAGCTGCCCCAGCTCAGCAAGAGGCAGGCGACACCGCTGTGGGCCGACGGGCCGCACCCGCTGCTGCCGCTGGGCAGCGGCAGGATGCGATCGTTGGCATCATCCAGCGGGAATCCCAGCCAGCGGTCGCACCTCAACACGATTCCCTCATTATCGCCGCTAGCCAATGGGACGCGATTGTCGACGCCGCTGAACAGCGGCAGGACGCTACACCCCCCACCACGCGGCAAGAACTTCAGACAACTGCCAAAGCGAGAAGGGACAGCCCATCGCAGGCAGACCTGGCAACGCTGGAAGCGGACCGGCCATATACCACGCGCTCAGTTCGACGCAGGACCTTGTCACGGGACCTGTCCTCGGAGACTGCCGAAGATGATGCACCTATGCAAAATGCCTACGACACGTTATCACCTCTTGTAGACCTCCAGCTGGAAGGCTTCCCACTCGCCAACACCTGGCCGGAGGCACTACAATCCCTTTACTCCCTTTCGGGCACTGGCCCGGACATGGACCTGGACCTTATGTAATGCCCAGGAATCGCCACTCGAACAGGCGGGCCGTGCAACTTCTACGCATTGGCTCCCACAACGTTCGCAGCCTCCTGGGATCAGGGTACAACAACGCATCCGAACGCACAGCCCAACTCATCCGTCAATGGGCTAGGCAAAGGCTGGATATCGTCTGCCTCCAAGAAACAAGGGTAACGGCTCACCGTGTGCCCCAGGCACGAACGATACTCCACAACCTGTCTCGGGCGTTTCACCTGGGCCAGTGGGTATCCTGGTGGGACCCTGCGTTGGATAGCCGGC